GCCACAACGCAAACTCGCAGCAAGCAGGGGCGCAACCATATAGGATCTGGGACGGCGAAGGCAAACAGTACGACTGTGACCCTGATGAAGGCCCCACACAAAATGCGGGCCCGACGCGAGCGCGGAATCCATTTCCAGAGGTTTACTCTCGCACAAAAAGAGGCAGGCAGGCTGTGATACACAAGTGGGAATCGAAGTGTGCTTGCCTCGGTGTCGAGGCAAATGCGCCACGCCGTACTTACAGGCTGCAATAACATGGAGATGGAAGTGTGCACTTTCCACAGAAGTTGCCAGTTGCGACCACATCATACCGTAGACAGCCGCATGCAGTCACATCGGCCGCTGAACGCGCGCCGAGCCGACGTGGGCCAAACAATTGCGAGAACCTGTGCTCAACCACCCGGAGACGCTCCGCCATTTGGCAGTAATGCGTGAGTGCCGGATGGGCGCCGACATGTTTCACACATGGTACAACTTACACACCAGCTGCATCCCAATTGAACAGGAATGAACATATCCCTGGTCCCTTTGGAGGGCACCTCAGCTAGGAGGGCAAAAGCATCAGGGATAGACACGAACCGCCCACCTGTTTTGGGAATTCCTAAAAAACGATGGCCTAAATTAGGCCACCAGTTCATTGCGTTTTTCGGCTTAGGGGTGTATTGTGAGTAATGACCGATGGCGGTCTCAACTGGCCTCATATTGTGTCAAACCGCCCCATAAACCTCGGCGCCAAGCACATCCTTGAGTCTCACGCGGTTTCCAGATGCCGCGAAACCCTCGAACCCGAGCGCACCCGCGCGCCTCACGCGGCCTCAAATTGCCACGAAACCCTCGACGCGCAACACATCCACGCGTGTCACACGCTCTCAAAATACTACGGAACCCTCGGCGCCGACCACACCCGCACGACTCACAAGATCTGATAGTGCCACGAAACCACCAGCGCCGAACACAACCACGCGTCTCATGTTGCCTCTAAGCGTCACGAAACCCTCGACACAAAGCGCAACTGCGAGTCCCACAAGGGGCTCGGAATGCATCGAAATCTTCAGCGCCCTGCACATCCGCGCGCCCCGCTCGGTCTCACCTTGCCACTAAACCTTCGGCGCCCAGCGCATCCGCGCATGTCGCAGGGTCTCACTCAAGGTGCTACGAGACCCTCGGCAACCTGCGACCGCAGCCCTGTCGCGATTGCAGTGTTCCCTGGCGCGAGACACAGTGTCGCAAACCGATCTTGCGTGTCTCATCGAAGTGCTCTCAAGCGCTCATCGTTCTGCGTGCCTCGTCTACGCCCCGCACCTCCCGCAGCGGCGAACCTTGCGCCGCGCGCGGCGCGGCCCGGCCCGGCACGGCGAACTCGTCGCACTCTGAAGGCCAAGCGCGGCACGGCACCGCAAGGCACGCCTGCGGCACATGCGTCGCGCTCTGTGTCCAGGACCACGCTTCTTGATACCATTGATCCGCCACCGTGACTCTGGGCTCGGAGCGGGCGTCTAACCCCTTCAGCCTCAGCCTCACCCCTGTCCTCAGGATCCCCCGGGGCTTGCCGCGGCTTTCCGCATCTTCTCGCGTGACTTGCTCGGGTCCAAGAAGGCCCCGAAACGGGCCAAGAAAGGCCTCAAGAGGCTCTCATGACGACCCCAGAGGGCCCGAAACGCCCAAAGATCACCCCAAGACACCCCAAGATGGCTTCAAGACGCCACATGAGGCCTCCAAGAGGCTTCCGAAGAAGGCCCCAACAGACAAACATCGCCGATTCCCCCCTGGGTTTTCGAACATTGTTTGGCCTTCTCGCCTGTTCGGCTTTCCGACGCTCCAAGACGGCCCAAGATGCCTCCAAGGTTGCCCCAAGACGGCCCCAGAGGCCCCCAAGAGGACTCCAAGACGGCCCAAGAGGCGCCCAAGACGGCCCAAAAGAGCGGAGCCCAGATTGGGAACCCGAACGGGCACTTCGAGGCCTCGGTCCCGAGGGGCCCCCAGGAGGCCCCAAGAGGCCCCAGGAGGCCCCAAGAGGCCCCCAAGAGACTCCAAGAGGCGCCCAAGAGGCCCCCAAGAGACTCACAAGAGGCTCCAAAACTGCCCCTAAGATGCCCCTGAGAGCGCTCCGAAGAGAGCCCACAAAACATCCCTTAGAACTCTGGCATACAACACAGGCGCGGTGGCGGAAGGGGCCGAAGGCAATTAGATACCCCTAGTACACGCGCTGGTCAAGGAAACGCGCAAGCATACCAAAACGCGTGCTCACGAAAAATAAGGACGCAACCATGTAGGATTTGGGACGTCGACGGCAGGCCGTACCTATACGATCACACATCGGGTGATATGGAGGTTCGTGGGGGAGGGGGAACCAACGTCTCATTCAATCGATCTCACATCATTCAAACTCTCGATCTCACAAGAAATCCCACGATTGATCTCATACTCGATCTCACTATCGATCCCATGATCGATCTCACTGTCGATCGTACGATCGATCTCATCATCGATCTGACAATCAAACTCACTAACGATCCCACCGTCGATCTCACAACAAGTTCGACGATCGATCTCCCAGTCGGTCTCACCGTAGACCTGTTAATCGAACTCACGATCGATCTCACATTCGGACTCGCTATCGATCGCACAACAGTTCTCACGATCCGTCCCCCTATCGATCACAACCGATCTCACCATCGATCACACGATGGGTCTCACAATCAACGTCACAATCGATCTCACGATCAATCTCAGTATCGATACCACGATTCATTCCACTATACATATCACTAACGATCTCACCCTAGATCTCACAAAATATCTCACCATCGATCTCACAACATATCTCACTGTCGATATCGCATCAGGTCTCACTATCGATCTCACGATCGATATCACTATCGATCTCACTATCGTTCTCATATCAGATCTCACTACCAATCTCACAATCGATCTCACTATCGGTTTGACAATCGAACTCGCTGTCGATCTAAAATTACCCTACAATCGATCTCACAACAGGTCTGACTATAGACTTCCCGATCGATCTCACCATCGATCTTATAATCGAACTTAGGGTCGATCTAACATTCGGGCCCACTATCGGTATCACAACATTTCTCACAATATGTCTCACGATCGATCTCACTACAAATCTCACCATCGATCGCACTATCCGTCTCGCAATCGATCTGACAATCGATCTCACGATCGATCTCAGTATCGATCTCACTGTCGATCCCACTACAGATATAACGAGCGATCTTACCATCGATCTCACAACAGATCTCACTATCGATGTCAAAAAAGATCCCACTATCGATCTCACAACAGATCTCACAATTGACCTCACTACCGATCTCAATATCGAACTCACCGCAGCGCCACGTACGGGACACCCCGCGCCACCGACGGGAGACTCCGCGCCACCAACGGAACACCGCCGCGCCACCGACGGGACACCGCCGCGCCACAGACAAGACACCCCCGGCCACCGCGCGCCGGAGACAGGGGCTGGACAACGGGCTCCACATCCCCTAGCCCGGCGGCATCATTCCTCTCGCACGCCCAACGCAGCCGCGCCTCGCCCGCACGCACGACACGAACACGATACCAAAACCGATTTCCTGGTGGGGGGTCTCTCCGTTCCACTGCGATCTCACCCCCTCGCCTCCGACAGTTGCAACCCTGATGAAGACGCCGCAAGAAATGCGGGCCCGACGCGGGCGTGGGATCCATTTCCAAACAGGTCTTCTCGTCTTCTCGCACTGTAGTGCTGCGATCACGGCTCACGGCTTGACGACATGCCGACGCACGACATCGCAACACTACGACGTTGCACGCACCATCTGGCCAGGATAAGGATGAGGACGCCTAAGTACTCCCACTCCTCTACCCCTCCTGACCCTCCTTATCAGTCCTTCCTCGTCCTCGCTCGCCCTCGTGCTCTATCTCATCCCCTGCTCTACTTCTTCCTCCTCCTCCTCCTCCTCCTCGTCCTCCTCCTCTTCATCCTACTCCTCCTCCCTCTCCTGGTCGACCTCCTCCTCCTCCTCCTCCTCCTCCTCCTCCTCTTCCTGGTTTCCCTTCATCTCGTCCTCGTCTTTACCCTGACAAAGCCAAGACAGGGACAACATCGGACAGGGACATACCAGGGATCTCTGACATCCAGCAATTCTGGAAGATGTATCGGGCGCCGCGGCCTCCTCAGAGCGTTCCAGAACGCTGTGAGCGCGTTATGGAACGCTCTGGAGCGATTTATCCTTGCCCTAGCCCCGCCCGATGCTCTTCCTCCTCGTACACCCTCCCCCTGCCCCGAGGGCGACGACAATGACGCCAAGCGACGCCAAGCGACGCCGAGCGACGGCGAGATTCGAGAGACGGCGGCGGCGGCAACAAACCCCTGCCATGCACCGACTTGTTTTGTTTCAATCCGCTGCCAACTACCCCGGCCGCTTCCCCTGGCGTAGTTTGTCGTCCAGCATACTTGTCCCCATATCCGAAGATGGGGCTCTCGTTATTACTTCTGCTCCGCCGACTCCCTTCACACACTTTCCTCCTCCATCTCCTCATTGTTTCCCATATCTCATTGTTCCCATCTCCTGAGACGGGGGTTCTTCACCGCCTGTCTGCCTGTGAGTCGTCGGCGCCGTCTCTCATCGTAGCTGCCGTCGTCGTCGCCCTCGCCTCCGTCGTCGTCGTTGCCGCAGCCGCCGCCCTCTCCGACTCGCCCTCACACCCAGACGGTCGCAGCGGGAAAAAGCTGGTGAAGTGCTGGATCTCCGCGCCGACCAGCTGCTGCCCCGGGGGCCCGAGCGCGGGCCCCGAGAGCCGCACGTCAAAGGTGAGAGGCGTTGTGAAGAGCAGACCCCGAAGAAAAGGAGCACGCCGGGGAGATCCCGCGAGACGACGGCGGGGACCCCGCCGAGGGCGGGGAGATCCCGCGAGACGACGGCGGAGACCCCCGCCGAGGGCGCGGCCGCCGCGGCGGCGGCAGGGCAAAAAAGAGGCGCGCGCGGCGCCTCGTACCGGGCGGCCCTGGAGCACGCGCGGGGCTCCTCGACGACGAAGCCGGGGAACTCCATGTCCAGCGCCACGAGGCAGCCTGCTGGGCGGCACACATACACCCTGCGAAATGCTTAAGAAATCATGGGTTAAGAAATTCATAGTCTCAGAACTTGAATAAAAACCCAAAATTTCTATTCAAATCTTAGGACTTACATTGAAACATTAAGAATAATCAAGACTCTGGCCGAAAACTTACGTTTTCTTGAGCATCGCCTAAGGTGTAGGGGGCCACACGCGAACCCTACCCCTACCCCCCCACACGATTTCTGAGGGGGAGGGTGGGGTTCACTTCGCTCGGGAGCTCCCAAGCGAAGTGACCCCCCCCCCCCAGAAATCGTGGGGGGCAGGGGTAGGGCTCGCGTGTGGCCCCCTGACGCAGGCAACCGCGGCGCACTCGCGGCGACAGTGCGGTTTTCTCCACGTCTTCGGTTTCCGGAGACCCGCTTCCGGCCACGGGGCACTAAAAAACAATTCCACAATGAGTTTCGGTCGACCCGTACCGCGAGGTCGCATGATCAGGATGCAAGGGCTCTGGAAGGCCGTTTCGAATCTTTTCGGGCGGGGCGCGGCCCACGAAAGCGGCCAAGGATGGCCCGAGGAGGCAAGGACGCAGGGGAATGTGCCCTCGGGAAGCTCGCCCATCCTTACTATGCAGGTTGACTGTATGTTGGATCGAACCACCAACTTCCTGTCGCTCGGACGTCCATTTCCCGTGCATTTGTCGGTTCCGTGCGTGTTTTTTGTTGCTCGATGGTCCAGGATGGTCCTCGATGGCTCTCGCCGAGCAAACATGAACACGTCCGAACGATGCCAGGCCAAGGACACGAGGCGGGACACCCAGGGAAGCACCAGGGCCCCCGAGGGGGCCTGGCAGCCACGGCAGGCGAGAGGTCGCTCGTCGAAGACGCGAGGCGGGCTGCCCACAGCGCGGCACGGAGGCACCCTCGAAGCCCGGCGGCCGCGGTCTGCAGGGTGCGCTTGGCGGGTCGGGAGCAGGCCTCCTCCTCCTCCTCCTCCTCCTCCTCCTCCTCCTCCTCCTCATCGTCAACATCCTCCTCCCCCTCATCCCTCCTCCTCCTCCTCCTCCTCCTCCTCCTCCTCCTCCCACTGTGCCCTACTGTGCTCTGGCGCGCCCGGCCGCTGCATGACCGCCGTCGGACTCCCTTGCGGCCCTTGATGAACAAGTCGCGGCGGGCGGCTCTGGCGCCGTGCTGTGCCTTGCAGGCTGAAAGCGCGCGATTCTGCTTTGCGGTGGCAGGATGTTTGGCAAAACTCGTGTGCGCTTGGCGTGTCGGGGACGAGGACGTCGTCAGCGTGCCGCGCCGCAGCACAGCGCTCCAGCACTGGCGACGCGACGCGCTAAGCGCAAGCTCCTGACCATACACTTTGGAGGCTTTCAGAGTTTCTCGCATGTTGTCGAAGGTCCTCGATGGCTTTCGGATGTTCCCGCACTGCTTCGGGAAGACCCGAAGGGTTTCCAACATTTGCGGCGGTCTTCGGATGTTCGAGGAGACTTCCTAGCTTCTCTAGATTTTTTGGATGTCGTCGCGTATGATGAAAGACTGGAGGAGGCATCAGAAGTGCTCGAAGTCTCCGATGGCAATCGAAGAACCTTCGAGAGTTTTCGACGGGTGGGGGATGTTCGGCGGATTTCTGGCGTGCTTGTTCTGCTGTGTTCGGAAGGTTGTCGAGGCAGAGCGGGGAGAGGACACAACGAGGAGGGAGGGGGTAGGTTTGTCTTGTTCCCCGCATCCTAAGAACGGGGGTTCTGGTTATTACTGTCATGCCTCCGCCTCCTTTCCCCCCCCTCCTCCTTACATTCGACCTCCCACTCGGACTCACGCATACTCAGATCCTACCCCCAGGCGCACGAATACTCAAATCCACGCACTCATACTGAGATGCACTCAGAGTCAGATGCACCCGCACTCAGACTCACTCCTCACACTCACACTCATCCACGCTCAAAGTCAGTCACACTCAGACGCATTTCCCACCCAGGCTCATTCGCACAGGCCACTCACCCTCGTGCCGCTCGACCGCTCGCGGCCCGATCCTGGGGATGTCTCGGGTGGTTTGCGTGTCTGGCTGATCAGACTCAACGGTGGACTCGGCGGCGCGAGGCGACGCCCACTGGCGGGCGGCGGCGGGCGCCTCCGAGCCCTCCGCAGGCCACCACGGCCGCGAGCAGGGCGCCGAGCTCGGCGTCGAAGTTCCAGGCCCACACCTCGCGGATCACGTCGCCGGCGTCGCCACGCTCGGCGGTCCCGTGGGGCGCGCAGTGCCTCCGAGGGCCACGAGATGCAGCAGCAGCGTGTCCAAACATGCAGCCTGCTTCGAGCGACCTCCACCCGAGAGCGCGAGGGAGGACACCGCGGGAGCACCAGAGCCATCGGGGATTTTCGGCCGCGGCGTGCAGTCGTCGTTCGTCGAAGACGCGAGGCCGGGTACCAGGGAGCACCGGGACTCTTGGGGCCTGGCGGCCGCGGTATGCAGGGCACGATGAAGACCCACCAGGTCAGATTAGGGAGGCTTGCAAGGCTGGACCAAGCCTGATTGAAACCGTCTAAGGCTGGGCTCAGTTGGACTAAGCTGGACTAGACTGGATGACCGCCACGGATGCACCAGGAGAGATAAGGAGTTAAAACTCCCGGGAGTTCCGAGCTAAGTAATGCGCCGAAGCCAACCCATTTGCCAGCACTGTGTAGAAGAGAAGCACGTGCAACAATGAGGGTGACAACACACACGCACACGCTCACCAAACTTGATCACAATACACTTCACCCTCCGTGAACACAACCACATCGTGCCCCTTCCACCGAGCACAGGAAGTCGGTTAGAAACTCTGAAGCCCGAACTCGGTCATTGTGATGGGGGAACGACAGCAGGAGAGCCCATAATCGGAACGATAAGTCGGATCGGCGATCGACATGCGTCGGCTCGGCAGAACTCGGCAGCCGAGTCGGGAAAAATCGAATCGGTGGATGTCGGCAGGCCAGTATGCCTCCAGTGAGACACCGGAGCCCAGATCGGAATGCCAAGTCGAACCGAAGCGGAATCGGAGGCCATCGACGTCGAGCCGAAGCGAATCGTAGGAAATCGAAAATCAAGCCCTGCGAGAAGGGAGGACTGGCTCCTTGGGGGGGGACAGCCTCCCGGAATCGGCGATACGTCGCCGATAGATGGACGACGCACCCGACGATTCATCGTCGATAGATCGATCGCCGACAGATCGACGGCGATACATCGCCGATACATCGAGCCCCCCGACAGCGCACCCGCCAAAGTTGCTCGGCCAGGTGGGCTATAACAGGGCCCCCTCGACGAGGTGGGAGCGCCTGAGGGTCGGTGCAGCCGCCCCTGAGCTCATCCCCCCTAGCGCTGCCCCGGACATTCTCCTAGGCGTACGGGCGAACGTGGCCGAGGCTCGCTCCCCTTCTCTCTGACTCATTTTTTGTTTTCTCTCTCTCTCTCTCTCTCATTATGTCTATGTATATGTATGTCTTGTTGTTTCTCTATCTATCTCTCTCCCATTTTTTTGTTTCTCGCTCTCTCTCTCTCTCTCTGCACAGCGGATTTACGCTCCGATCTGATCGCCCATTGGGCGCTGACCGCGTCGATGGCCCTGAACCGACCCCATGTCGCAATCGCACGCTGCCAGATTTAGGCGAAGCTGACAATCGAGGGGGGGTGAATGGCAACGTTAGGGGGGGAACGGCTCAGGGGGGGGAGATGTCGAGCTCGAATCGGCGATACATCGCCGATAGCTCGGCGAAAGGCCCTCGACAGTAAAAACTCGCATGCTCCTGGGCAGGCTGGAGCTATCGAGCCCCCATCGGCGATCAGTGGGCGATTTGGGGTCGATGCCCCCCCCCCGCCCCAGGAGCCTCTCGCCCCCTAACGATGCCCCCGAAGGGACCCTTGGCGAGGAGCCGCGAGCGAGGAGTGCAGATGTCGCGCTGCCACAGGACCGAAGGGGCTCCGCTGGCCACCACGAACCTCCGCCACGAACATACCCCCCGACCTGGAGCTGAGGACCGGCCCGAATACCAGAGCCTCGCCTGAACCTAAACGTTAGAAGAAGAAACACATGCAGAAACATTAACCGTTGGCGCTCCGCGCGGATATCTTGGATCTGCGCTGGCCCCCCATCCCTGGCGCGCAGCGCGCGTCAGGGGCGGCGCCGGAGGCGCCGCCGGCGGGGCCCACCGCGGATCCGAGAAATTTGTGCGGAGCGCCAAAAGTTTATGTTCATGCCGTTTTTTCTTTCTCGAAACGTGGCCCTTATTTCAGCGCCTTGGATGTCAGGCCCGACGCCAGCCTGATGGAGCGGCCTACAAGAAAGCAGGCTCTGCCCATGCGGGTCTCTCGAAGAATCTCGAGGTCACTGGCGCAGGGAGGCTCCACGCCGTCGGGCCATCAAAAAAAACTGGAACACATCGGCCAGCTTCCCCCTCCCCCCGCACATTCTCATCATGCCGGCTGCCCTGTCTTCCTCACTTTCGGTCGGAAGAGTTCTCGTGGGTATTTGAGGCCCTGGACCCTCGAGCCGACTTTCTTCTGCGGGCCGCCTCGCCGTGGAAGAGCATCCGCGGCTCCGTCCACGACAAGCAACACCGGGAGGGGCCAAGCTTCGGGAGAGCCAGGTGCTCGGACACCACGTCCCCTCCCCCAGGGTCAAGGCAGCGACGAACAGCTGCAAGACTGCTCCAGATGAAGTTTGGTCTGAAGCGTGACTTGAATTAATATAAGCAGTGTTTTTTAACACTGCGCTTTTTTACGCAGAGCTTTGAACGCAGTGTTTTTACGCAATGATTTTCCACGCAGTTTTCTTTACGCAGGTATGTCCAACGCGGTGTTTTCAACGTAATGTTTTCTACGCAATGCTTTTTTACGTAGTGGCTTACGCAATGTTTTTCCCTACCTAGGCTCTGCCTAGAAGGGTTCTTACTCGGAAGCTTAAAGGGCCGGGCAGTGGAACGCGCCCCGGGCGGTTCCCCCAGTATCCGCCCCGCGGTTCCCCCAGTTACGTCCCCTTAGCTTAGCGTTGCTTATCTCATCTTAGCTTAGCTTATTTCATCTTAGCTCAGCTTAGCTTCATATTAGCTCAGGTTTATCTTAGCTTAGCTTACCTTCATCTTAGCTTCGCTGAGCTTTAGCATTGCAGAGCGCAGCGCTGCATCAGCATAGCTTAGCTTAGTTTAGCTTAGCATAGCGCAGCGCTGCATTAGCATAGCATATACTAGCATACCATAGCCAAGCATAGCATAGCATATCATAGCATAGCGCAGCATATCATAGCATAGCATAGCATCGCATGGCATAGCATATCATAGCATAGCACCGCATAGCGCAGCTTGGCAGAACATAGCATGGCACCGCATAGCACAGCGCAGCATGACATAGCATAGCTTAGCATAACATAGCATAGCGCTGCATAGCATAGCATAGCATAGCATAGCATAGCATAGCATAACATAGCATAGTATAGCATAGCATAGCGCAGCGTATCATGGCATAGCATAGCATGACATAGCATAGCATAGCAACTAATGCTGCTTTCCTAGGGGCTCCAACTTCTAGGTAGGGTCGCACTGGGGTAATTTACGCAATGATTTCAACGCAGTGTGTTGTTTAGGCAGCGTTGTCTACGCAATGCTTTTTGTACGCAGTGTGCGTTTACGCAACGTGGTGTTCGCAATGTTTCGTGTACGCAGTGTCTTTAACACAGTTATGTTGTTGGTTACGTCGTGATTGATTTTACGCAGAGCTTTTACGCAGTGTTTGTTTTAACGTAGTTTGCTGTGCATTGTTTCCTGCGTGACGTTTTACGCTTTGCGTTTGAGCAACCGCCTTTCAATCATCGTTCTTGGTTCTTGGAGGCGCGCGCTAAAACACTGCGCAGAAAACACTGCGTAGAAAACACTGCGTAGGCGGGTTCGTCGACTCGTTCCAAACTTTCGGGTTTCGGTTTTCTGGCTTCGGATTTCCGATGTTTTAGGTTCCGCGTTTCGGGCTGGCTTTCGGGTTTCGGTTATCTGGCTTCGGACTTCCCGTTTGGGGGTTCCGCATTTCGGGCCGGCTTTCGGGTTTCGATTCGCTGGCTTCGGATTTTCGATTTTGGGGGTTCCGCGTTTCCGGCCAACTTTTCGGTTTCGATTCTCTGGCTTCGGATTTCCGATGTGTGGTGTTCCGCGTTTCGGGCTGGCTGTCGGGATTCGATAATCTGGCTTCAGATGTTTTTTGGTTCCGCGTTTCGGACTGGCTTGCGGAATTCGGCTTTCTGGCTTCGGATGTTCGATTTTCTTGGTTCCGCGTCTCGGGCTGGCTTTCGGGTTTGACTGTCTGGAATCCATTATCTGGCTTCGGGTTTCGATTTTGCGGGCTTCGCGTTTCGATTTTCAATGTTTCAACGCCTGGTACGGTACCTAATAATTCGCCGGCCCAACGGGCCAGAGGCGTGCTAAGATCTCCGGTAACTACTTAACAATATTTCTAGTTCGCGCGCGCGGGGCGGCCCTTGGGGGCCCAAGTACCCCGGCCGATCCCCGGCCGGGTCCCGGCTGGGTCCAGGGCGATCCCCAGGGGGGAGGCTATTTTTCGCCACCCCTCACGAGGATCGTGGCCTCCGAGGGGGTGGCTGCAATCGACTACCCCCCCTCCCGCTCCAAGGGGCCCCCAAGAGCCCCTAAGAGGCCCCAGGGGAGCCCAAGACGCCGCCAAGGAGCCCCAAGACGCTTCTAAGAAACCCCCAAGAGGCCCCCAAGACGGCCCCAAGAGGCCCCAAATAGCGCTCCAGGGCCGGCGGAATGAGCGAAGCAATTAAACAAAGTGCCTAGCACAGCGCCTGGCACAGCGCCTAGTACAGCGCCTTATCGAGCGGCATACTACATAGAAAGCACTACGTAGAAAGACCTTTGTAGAAAGCAGTGTCGCACAGCGTGGTTGTTGAACTCACGACTAAGATTTCAATTCCACGATTAAGAGAACCCTTGGCTCCGGATACCCACCATGCCAAAAATTCCTCAATGATTTTTGCCATGTCGACGTTTCTGCTCGGACGGGCCTCTGAGGCAGGCCTCAGGACTGTCTCGATGGCCCCAGGACGAGAACAGAAGAGCCCCGAGAGAGCCCCAAATGTCATGTGTCAAAGAGCATCCGAAGAAAGCCAAAATAGAATTCCAAAAAGGCGCCTGTCTGGTTTCTTTCACATGGAACGTCCTTTCCTGTTCGATGGCTTCCAGCGTGGAGCCCCAAAAAAACAGCATGCTCTCATGAGAGCACCGAGAGGAGCCCCAGAAGAGCGAACATATAGAACACCAATCTGGCTCCAAGGGGCCTTCCAGCGCTGGACGCACTAACAGAAGTTTCACTTCGACAGTTCAGGTTCGCTGAGCTGCGTACACCCGTGGAGACAGCACTAGCGGGGTGGATGCCGAACAGCCAGCGCTGCCCCAAAGAGACAACAGCTTAGACAAACGGTGCTCTTCATCAGTAGCAATGTCCGCGGCGAGACCGACGACGAGTCTTCCTCAAAACAGACAAAAGATTGTGGCGATCCCCGTAACAGTTCTTTCCGTCCCCTCTGATGCCAGGAAGGAGCGCGGTCCTCTCCCCGCCGCAGCCCCTTCCCAGACGCGGCACGCGGGCCTGTCCGCTGCTCCCGAAGGCACCGCGGCAGCCCTCATCAAAACGGCCTCCAGCTGCTGCACCGTCATCGCCATGGCTCCCGCCGCCGTCCCCCGCGCGGGACAAGCGCCCGGTCGCCGCCTACTCCTGCGGCAAGAGGCGCAGCTACGCGGCACACCCTCTTACTCCTCGCCCTCCTCCCTGCTCCCTTGTCCTTCACCCCCCCTCAATGCTCTCTCCTCACTCCCGCTCCATTGCCTTCCTCCCCCTTCCACCTCCCGCTCTCCCTCCCTCATCCCCCCTCATCCCCGCATTGACTTAGACACTCACGGGTCTAGCACCAATAGTACCAAATAGAAACTGCAGGGCCCTCCGACATGGGGGGTCGACGTGGATACTATAGCGAGAAGAAGGCAAGCCTTTCCATGGATGGCGACAAAATACTCCACCACTCCGCCGTCGGTTCCTTGGCCTGCGAACATTGAGACCTCCCTGGTCCCCCCCTCCATGATCCCATCTCTCTCATCGCTGCTCTCTACTCCTCCTCCCCCTCCCCTCACATCCCACCTCCCACCTCCCTTTTCGCTCCTCCCTCGTCTCTCCCTCCTCCTCCTTCCTCCTCTCATCCTCTTCTCCGTTTTGCCTCGTTCTTCCCTCATGGTGCCCCTCCCTCTCCGATCCCTCGTGTAATTCTCATCCCCGCCCTAGGATCGTCAGATAAGACATCGGCCTGCCAACAAGTACCCCCAGCGATGCTCTTATCCCTCAATGAGCTCAGGGGCAAACAGAAACTCTGAAGCACTTTGGCCTGCTTGCTGCCTGCCTGCCGGCTCGCTCAGACACCTTGCGGCGGAGGTCAATGTTCCCAAGTGTTGCTTGCAATTCGGGCTCTTACTCGGACGCGATTTTCTATTTCTATAAAAACCTGAGAGCGCGGGAGGGGTCTCAATTGCTGTGAGAGAGCCGATTTGTCAGAGACAAGATGCCAGAAACGTGCCACCGGCTTGCGAGCCGTGCCGTGTCATGCCTCAGTTCAACAGTGCAGAACATGTGCCGTGCCGCGCCATGCCACAAACCTGGAATGCCCCAAAGCCTGTGCCGTGTCGTGTCCGCGTGCTGCGCCGTGCCACGCATCTGGAATACGAGGGGCCAAGTGTCCCATGCCGTGCTCGCATGCCATGCCTGGCCGAGGCCAGGCTCCAGAGTGCGAAGAACGTGTGCTGCCGTGCCGTGGCGCGCCCGCGTGCCGAGCCCTGATGAGCCCTGCCTGAGCCCTCGAGTGCAAACATGCGCCGTGGCGTACCGTGCTCCCGTGCCGTGCCGGGCTTCGGTTCCAGAGCGCGAGACATGCGCAATGCGGGGCTGCGCCGTGCCCTGCACAGTTTCCAGGGTGCGGAGACGTGCCACGCCGCGCCCGAGCTCTGCAGTGCAGCGCACGTGCCGTGCCGCGCCCGCGCGCCATGCCACGCCGCGCTCGCCTTCTTGCGACGCCGGCCACCCGCAGCAGACGCGCCCCCTCTTGACGTGGACTGGCCCGCGCGTGCTCTCCTGCGGCGCTGCCGCTGCGGCATCGTGCTGCAGCGTGCGCTCCCGGGTCTCTGCCCGCCCCGTGGGCACCCCGCGGGCGCCCCACGCGCTGGCTGCGTCCGCCGACGCGTCGCCCGGTGGCCGCCCGTGGCCCGCCTCGAGGGGCGCCGCCGTGCGGCGGCCGAGGTCCGCCCAAGGGCTCCGCACGGAGGCCGCCCGCGGGCGCCTCGAAGGGCGCCCCGCGCGCTGGCGCCGGGCCCGTCGGGGGCTCCGTCTGGTGGCCGCCGCCGTTGGCGCCCCGCGCGCTGGCTGGGCACACCGAGGTGTCGCATGGTGGGCGCCCTGTGCGCTCGGCTCCAACAGGAGTTGCCCTGGGAGCTCGCGACAAGAAGTGCACGTGTGTGCGCCCCTTAGCGGGATGAGCTGTCTGTCGCGCGCGCGCGCGTGCTGAGCGCTCGCGCGCGCGAGATGCCAAGACGCCCCCGTGGCCGCAAAAAATTGTTCCGGGAGGGCCCGAGGCCAAAGGCGAGAACATCCAACCGACCCTGGGATGACGCCACCCCCACACGATCCCGCCATGGAGTCTGGACCGTCTCAGGCCGACCCGAAGATGACCAAACAGTGGAGCCACGCGTGACGCCGAGATGGCCTCATGACAACACGATGGATCCACGCGCGCCCAGGGTGGCCCCAGAATGGACACGCGACGGCTGCGCGATCCAAGCATGACCGAGATGTGATCTCAAGATGACCTCAAGACGACCCTGGCACGCCAAGAATGCTACTACTTCGGGGCCCAAACTTACTTCGAGCCGATCCCAGCATGGCGGGATCCGTGAACGACCAGGGATACTTGTTTACCCCATTCTTACTGGGTGGGATTTTTAGCCTGGCTGAACTAACATGATGACATTTAAGGGGAATAAGTTAGGCGGGATCCCGCCTGGCCCACGGCAGAAGACTACATTGCCAGGCTTCCACGGGGGGAAGGGGGGGCTCGGGCGGGGCGTCATCCACTCCCGCTGCCTTCCGCCAGCCTTCCGACGGCCTGCCGACGGCCTTCCGCCGTCTTCACGCCTCGCTCTACCTCCGTCGGCTTCCGCGAGCGAGGGACGTGACGAAAACTCGAGGAACTTTCGTTGGGCCGATGCGGGGGCCGCGGGTGGGCGCCCCCGGGCCGCCCTGCGCGCTGGCTGCGAACGCCGACGCTTTGGATGGCAGCCGCCCGGTGGGCGCCTCGTGGGCGCAACCGTGCGGTGGCCGGGGCCGAGGTTTCGCATGCCGGCCGCCTGGGTCGGCAAGAGGAGAGGATGCCACTTGGATTGCTGCAATCGGAGGGCGCTAGAACTGCTCGGGATATCGGGATATTGATGCGTCGTTTTTTATGCTTTTCGGCGACCGACAGGCATGTACAGGAAAATCGCGGGGCGGTCGCTGACCGAACAGTTCATGGGCATTATGCTATAATTGTCCGTGGCGACGTCACACTTCGAGCATCAATACTGGTCCCCACCGAGTGCATGCCCCTGTTCAGCCCTGCTCTGCGCGGATCATCAGAGCATCTATCTTGCTTCCCCCTCTCACATGTAGTTAGTGCCACACGAAGGGAAAGATTCGCCACTGCTGACGCGTCTTTTCAAGAAGTGCGGGTTGATCAAATTTGCCTTTGCCCAGTGGGCTCCATCTACCGTGCGCGATCACCACTCCTGCGCGTCTACGGACCTGCGAGCACACGTGCGCAGAATGCATGGGATCCTCGGGCAAGCGTGGAGTCACACACAGCACATGCCAGTGCAAGCGTGAAGTGTGGGGAGATGCCCCACGCTGGCGCGTGCTACTTGTACACTGAATATGAGCCCTTGCACATCTGCGATGTGGAGCTTCTGTGCAAATAACACGGCATCCGACGAACGCATCTGGAAGAGCACCCGAGTGGATACGCCCAGGTGCCCACATTTTCTTTTATACCCCACGAGCACCCTAAAGACGACTGGCCGAGTGACAAGAATTGCGAATTGAAGCAGTGCGCGGCACACGCCTCCCCAAGTAACACAAACGCCTGGTGGCCGCGGCGTGAGCCGGCTGCCCTGTCCACCGAGGAGGTCGTCCTCGGGAGCAATTCTAACGGGACTTCAAGACGAAGCACCCCAGAACAAGCTAACAACAAACTACGGGAGGACGTCAAGTATGCATATGTGATGCTTCGCACCTTCGGAGGACCTTCTCTGTCCCCTCGCGCCGCTGTCCGCGTCGACTCGCGTCGGCAGTCAGAGAAGACGACAGCTTACAGGACAGACGAGGCCCTCCGAAGACGCAATCGAACATCTGCACCGATCACGACCAGGCCAAATCGACGCCAAGGATCGGTGCACAACGCGTTCCGCTTGGCCCAGAAGGCACAGATGATCCAGGGTCTGCTCCCCCCGTCTCATGCTGATGCCATCGGCCCCCCCCTCCCCCCCCGCGAGATGGGCCCCCCCTCCACCTGTGGGCGTGGCGTGGTGGGGTCTTCCCCTGTGGGCGTGCTGTGGTGGGTATGGGGTCCGGCCCCCTCCCCAACCCATCAGGGAGGAGGAGGAGGAGGAGGAGGAGGAGAAGGATGAGGACGACATCGGCGTCGGCATCGGCATCGGCATCGGCATCGGCATCGGCACATGCATCGCCGTCCTAGGCATGACGTCGTCGTCGTCGTCGCCGAACTCACCACCCATCCCATCGGTGGGTGGGGGCCCAGCGACCCTGAGACCCATCCAATCTGGGGGGGGGGGGGCGTGGGCCTGGAGCCCAGAATCATATACACTGGTACTGGGTCCACGATGGCCCTGGTTCTAAAATTGGTACACATGCATAGTTGTCGTCCTGCGAAGCTAGGCTGATCCCGGGGCAGGGAGACAATCCTTTGTCGTCATTCCCTGAGCACCAGGGTCCTCAGCCAGCGCATCGCCATGTGAGCTGTTGGCATGCGGATGGTCCTCCGCAGACAAACAACTTCCAATACAGTCGGGTCATCCTTCACCCTCCGTCCGCCTCCCCATCCTCCCCATCCTCCTCCTTCTCCTTTGCATCTCCCACTGGTTCTTCGCCTCTTAAACCATGCCCTCACACCCTGGTTGCCCCCGTCCTGCATCTTCTCCAACTCGGCATGCTCATGCCTCCTCCTCCTCATCCTCTTCCTCTCGCTACCCGTCGCGCCCTCCTGTTCCGCTCAACTGTCCTCTCCTCCTTCTCTCCCCTGGTGCTAACCTGACAGAATTCTCCCCATCCAGCGCGCAGTGGACGCATTCGGCAATATTCATGCAATACTTCGGTCACCGATGTGAGCTTAGCGTGACGCAGCTGCACCCCTTGCGACGCGCTACGCTCTGCGAGCTGATAGCGTGTCGCTCTGCTTCGTGGGGTGGAGGGCTGGGATAAGCTCGGCACGTTGACGCCTGCGGGACGGGACGCTCTTAGAGTGTCGCACCGAAGCGTGATGGGCAAACACCAGCGGCGCGGCACGCTAACCAAACGTTCGTGACCGTGCGCAGAAGGGTACACTTTATGATGAGCAATAACAGGACCCCTATCCCATTGGGAGGCGACCTAAGGTAGGAGGGCCAAACATATTAAGGATAGGGGCTCTTTTTGTTGCAGATATATCAGACCAAACCGACCAAATGTACGATCCCTAATGCGAAGACGGGGACCTAAGCGAGGCCACGTCTTCATCGTGTTATGAGGGTTAGGGGTTATTTCGTTCTCGATGACAATCTCGGTACTCAACATCGTTACGTGCTCCGGGCGACTTGCACCCTGCAGGCCCCCAGGGCGACCAGGGCATAAGAGAGGCTCGGTGGAAGCCTCCTGCAGGTTCGCTTCTCCCGATGTGCTTACCCCAGTTCGAGGCCAAGGCCTCCCGTGACAGACGCAGCAGGCTACAACCGACGTGCAGTTGGTCGCATTTCTGCAATAAGCAAGATTTCGTAATGGCCCGCACGTCCGCGAAGCCGACGGGGAAAGTGACGTTTTAATGAACACCCTGCTGGATAGAAGATCATATATCTCATGTGGCGAGGGCGCATTCTCAGCCGACGCCATGGAACAACGAGGCAAGAAACGCGACTCTCGGACACGCGGAATGGCTGCGGCCACTGCAGTCTGAGCAACACCCAGCTCGGGTCAGCGGCCAGCTGGGCCGCGGGAAGAAACTAAGGACGCTCAAGAGGATGATGATCCCTATTGCTCTAACATGCTCTAACAACTGGGGGGCTGATTAATTCAACTCCGTTAAACTGGACGCGCAACAAAGGGCGATGAGGGCGCAACCGTATCAACATCGCAAAAAAGAACATGCCAAACCAGGCTTCACTGCAAAGGCGCCGCGAAACGGCACAAGCTAGGCAACAAACGGCCGGCGTGCGCGATCCTGCACCGACGGCAACTCTCAGCAGTGGCCCTGGCATTTGTGGGAACTGCCACACTGTGGACGCTTCTGGCGCAGGGGTGCCGTCGCTAGAGGCCTCCTGGATGGGGTCGGAGTAGATGGGGTCGGAGGATCGCGCCGCATCGCCAATGTATCGGCGATGCATCGGCGATGCATCGGTGATGCATCGGCGACGTCGGCGATGCATCGGCGGAGCCCTGCGCATCGAGCCACATCGCCGATGCGTCGGCGATGAATCGGCGATGCGGCGCAATCCTCCAAGCCCATCTACTTCGACCCCATGTAGGAGACCTAGACTCAGGTCGGGCATGTCCTTCTACAGGCGGATTTCATAAGAAAAAATGAAAACTACACAAAAGATGCGCAAACATAGTCAACGGAGCACGGAGCATCGTCCCCAGACGATTTGTTTAACTGTTCTTGAATTCTCCCCCTGTAGAGGGACATGCCCGACTTAAGCCTGTACTTTCGGCGCAGGGGTGCCGCTGCTCCGTGGGCACCGCTGCCCGGCGGGCCACCTCGCCCGCGCGCCCCGACTCTAGGTCGGGCATGTCCTCCAACAGGGGGGGGCTGGAACAGAAATAAAGAATGCTAGAACTAGTCAAAAATGACTGATCGAAAAATCACCCCCATCAGAAATCATAACCCCAAACCGAACTGCCGAACATAGCAGAACAATCGCCGATTTAATCTCGACTCCAGCGCGCAGCAGCCTGCGGCGTCCGTCATGACACGTCGCGGCCGCTCTCCTCGGACGTCGCCCCCCTGCAGGCGCCTCGAGCAGGGCCGGCGGCGGGCGGGCCCAGGACAGCTCCCGCCGGGCGCCCACGTCGGCGCCTGCCCGGGCTGGGCACCGAGAGCGAGACCACGAGGCCGGGCTGGGCACCGAGAGCAGGCGCCGCCGAATGCCACCTCGAGACGGCGCCACGACCGCGGCAACTCGGACCGGCAGGGGTCGAGGATCTGTTGGGTGCGGCGGTTCTGGAGGATGCATGGGGCGCCGCGGCCAGTCCACAGCGACGGCGAACGCTCCGGTTGCCTGCCAGAGAAAGCTCTGGAACGCCTTATCCTGGTCCTGGCCCCGCCCGAGCGCGTTATAACGGCAGCCTCGACGCAGTCTGCAGCTCAATCCCAGTCGAGGGCCCATCGCGCCACCGACAATTCTTTTTTGGGGGAAGCCGCTGGAGAGGGGGGTGCCAGCCAGGTCATCGCCCGGCGCGAGGCTGGCGGCTGCCGTCGAGAGGCCGCTCCAGAAGCGAGGCCGGGCGAGCGCGTATGGATTGCGAGCCGCGTGGCCGTCTCACCACGAGCCCGAAACTTCATCGCAAGGCTCGCTAAATTTTAGCATGATGCGACACGAAAATACTTACACTGACACCCTCAGACGAATTGTGCATGTGCGTTCAGGGAGGGCGGCGGTGTATAAAGTCATTGGCTCCCAGTGGCGATTTATACACCGCCGCCCAACTCTAAGGCCCAGGAATTATCCATTGGAGGCGTCAGTGCGAATATTTTTGTGGCAGATATAAAGCGATATCCAGCCTGTGGAAGAAATCCCAGCCGCGCTCTCCTACTACTTAAGTCACGGCAATCACGAATGCCTTCCGCGCTGAATCGTCCAGGGCGCCGTCCGGGCCATCGAGCTCCCGCCCAATGACTGGCCTTCGCTTCGCGCTGCTATTCCAAGACGCAACTTCAGGGCTCGAGCTGCACGCGACACGTTGCCCGACTGGTCTTCACCCGCGCGGACAAAACCAACGATCACGAATCGCCCGCTCCCGCGTTGGACCTGTGAAAGTAGCATTGCGACGACGCGTAGCTGGCCAGGGCGATGTCTCGATCCCTGCGGGCGCTGAAAAAATGGGTCATCCTGGCGGCGCGTGCCCGGCAACATGCGGCTCACCTCCCTGCTTGACGCGCCCGAGCCCCTCGGTTCCTCCACGGCGGCGCCGCGCTCGGTCGAGCTCTCGAGAACGCCCTGCGCGGCGTGCCCGCTGGCGCGGGCGTCTCGCCATCGGCGAGGGACGCGCCGCCCGGTGAAATGCCCGGCAGCCAAGATGAGGGACGCCCGCGGGTCGCCACCTGCCGCGCGCTTCGGCCACGAAGACGCGAAAGCTATCGAGGGCCTCGGTGGACCGGGTGCAAGATGTCCTCGCGCCGCGCCAGCGCCCCCGGCATCGGTGCCTCTCCAAGACGACCCATCTGCCGCGATTGCCCTCGCTGGAAACCGCTATCACGCTCTGGCGCGCGCCCCGTGCGCCGATTGGTCGATGCGACGACGCCGCGCCATTGCAGGAGATGCCCGCCACGATGAAGAAGTCGGCGAAGATGGGGGCTCGCGAAACCGCGATCAGCCAGTGCTCGCCAGGTGCCCGAACGCCACCACCGCGGCCTGGCCCCCCCAAAGCGCCGTTGAGCTCGACGCGCCCCGGAACCTGCGGGCGCCGTTGCCTGGCGATCCGCGCTGATCCACTCCACCACCACGGGCGGCGCTGGCTGTGGGGCCTGCCGCCTAGGCTCGGCGGCGGGGTCGTCGTCGTCGTCGTCGTCGTCGTCGTCGTCGTCGTCGTCGTCGTCGTCGTCGTCGTCGTCGTCGACGTCGGGAGTCGGTCCAGCTGCTTCCGGGGGCGCCGAACTGGCGGGATGGGTCCAGGCGCCCGCCCCGCCGCGAGAGCGAAGTGGCATCTCGGGCAGTAGCCGCGGGAGGATCGACCCCGAGCTACCGAGGACACGCGGGGCGCCGACCGCCAGGGCAGGCGCGCGCCTCGATCGGCGCGGGCGCCCTCTGCGAGCCATTTGTTTCGCCTGCCTCTTGCCCGCCCCCCCCGGGCCTGGGGCTCTCCGCAGGCGGTCAGAAGCTCTGAGCCTGAGGAGCTCGGCTCGCGAAAACTCGGTGGGCCTGCGAGGATCCGCCGGAGCTTGCTCCAGCTCGCCCTGCCTGGTCCGCAGGGCGGCCCTCGCGAGCGTCGGCAGGCGCAGCAAAAGTCGCGCCGCGCCCCGTCATCGATAGCCCGCGGCTCGGGGCGGGCCGGGGGCCAAAGGAATCGGGCCCGATGGGTTCCGCCAGCGCGACCGAGTCCGCGAACAGCACCGCCGCGCCAGGTCGCCCCCGTCGCTCTGAGCCCCGTCGTCGCGTCGCATCCTCCTCGAAGACGTCGTCCCTCGCGGCTGTGTTCCAGTCGGCATCCCCGCGAGCGGCGCCCACTTGCGGCCCCCAGCCCTGTCTACCGCGCGGGCGCGGCCGCGTCGTAGTCGTCGATGCGAAGCCAGGGCAGGTGGCGCTCGGCCATGCCGGGGACTTGGCCGCCGCGCTCGACGCCCCCCCTGCAGCCTCGGCCCCGAAACGGTCGAGGCAGTCCATCAGCGACGCGCGCGCGCGCGAGGAGCAGCAACCAGCTCAGCCACGCGACCGCGCAGGCCACTCCGACGGCGCCTTCGGGCGGCCGAGGGAGAGTCGGCCCTGCCAAACTCCCAGAACGCCCAGGGCACTGCGCAATGCAGTGCCGAAATATGACAAGAGCTCGGGCATGCTTGAAGTCGCTGGAAGATGGCGGGCAGACAGGCCACGATGAACAATCGAGAGCTTCTCGTCGCTGAAGAAATCCGATCCTAGAACTGGCGGCCCCATCGGGGCCGGCGGCGCATCCTTGCAATGCGGGCTGACGCGGCCCAGGCCAGCCTGGAACGCCCCGCCTGCTCCGCCTTCTTGGTCGCAGTGATGACCGATAGCTGCTGCCTCTCGTCGTCGTCGGACGCAGGCATGCTCGGCCCCCGCTGTTTGATCGCCAGCTCTAAAGAAAAACACCTCCTTGCTGGAACTCCGGCGCCCAGCTGGGGCCCTCGCGGCCCTCGTTCTGGTCGATCTAGGCACCCTGGGCTCGTCGAGGCGGGCTCGCGCCGCAGCTGCCGACGACTTCGAGCGCGCCTCTCGCGGCCCCTTCGCGCGCATACTGACCACCTCCGCGCAGAGCGGGGGAGCAAGCTCCACTCCGCAGTCGGTCCTATCCCTTCCTCTCCGAGGTTGAGCCAGCCCCGTGGCCCAGGGGAAGCTTCCTGCCAACGAGGCGTAAGACCGCTCTGCCGTCGTCGCTGGGGTCACAGGCGGTCCGCCTGAGCTGCTCGCTGCATGCACCCTGCGCAATCCCGCTCCCCCCTCGCCAGGTCGCCACTGCCTGGCTACGCTGCAGCCACATGGTGCGCAGCTCGCTCTCTAGCTTGATTCCCCTCGGATCGAAGCGAGCCGACTCGCTGGCGAGCGAGGTAGCGTTCGCCGCAAATCTCAATGCAGCTGGGACTGATGCGAACTGCTGCCCGCGACCTGCTTAAACTGGCCCGCGCCAATCAAGCGATGAAGCTGGGGCGCCACCAGGTCGAGACGGCGCATGCAAGTTGATCCGCTCACGCGAGAAAGCCTCCGAAGAGGTATGTCGAGCGCCACCCCGCCGCGGTAATCCACGAGAGCGGAGAAGCCAGCCCAGGGACCGACGCTGACGAGATCCCCTTCGCCATCCCCTGCGCCGTCCAAACAGGACCCCGCCGCCCGCCTCGTCGATGCTGCTCCCGGAGAGGTCTAGGTGGAACTGCTGCTCGGGCAACACGCAGTCGAAACTTCTCTTCGACTCAGCGGCCGCCTGGCTCCTGGGACGAAGCCAACCGTCTGCCCTCTGCACGCAGTGTAATGCTACCTGCCTCCATCCATGGACACGTAGACGCGCAGGCACGCCAAACAGCTGGCCGCGCAGAGTTGGTCACAGTACTCTGCAGGCCCGTCCCCGGCGCTCCGTCGAGAGCCCCGCCCAAGGCCGACACCTCCGCCGCCGCGTGGCAGCCCTCGAGCTCCTTGCGGCGCGGCCGCCCCCGCAACTCAGCCTACGCCGCGTACGCCGTCCTCCCGCCGGGGGCGTCGGCATCTCGGACGCGGCCGAAGCGGCGTCGCCAGGGCGCTGAGGCGGAACAAACCTGCCCTAGGGGGGAGGGGGGTCCAGGAGCTGGAGGAGGAGAGCAATGGGGGGAACGCCCCGTGCTGCAGTGTCTGTCGCCCGCGTCGCTGCCCTGAAAAGTGCGAGCTGACCCCGCTGCCCCGTGTGAGGAAGCGGCCTGGCCGCTCTGCTATCGCATCTCCTCCTCCGCCTCCTCCTCCTCCTCCCTCCTCCTCCTCCTCCTCCTCCTCCTCCTCCTCCTCCTCCTCCTCCGTCCTCCGTCCTCCTGTGCTCCTCGTGCTGCGCCCCCTTGTCTTCTTCATCACAATCCTCTTCGTTCCTCCTCTTTCTGCCTCCCCCTCCTTCACGACCTCGTCCTCGAAAGATCTCTTCATCCTCGTTATTATCCTCGTCCTCACTCCAACTCCCCATCCCCATTTTTCCACCCTCCTTACTTCTCCTACTCCTCGGCATCATGCTGAGATACCTTCGTCGTCCTCCTCCTCCGCTGCCAATTCCTGCTGAAGTTGAAGCTGGGGACCTGCCTGTGCAATGCACTGGGGCCCTCGGTGACCCTACCCCCGGCCAACACCGGGGGGATGGGGTAAAGGAAGCCAACTGGTAGAGAAAGACGGAAGAAGGAACGACCGAACAGCGGAGACCACTGCAGAAGAAGCCAAGTCATGCTCCTCCTTCTCCTCTTCCTCCTGCCACAGTGCTGCTGGACCCCTTGGTCTTCCTTGCCCATCCCAATGCCCAATGCCCAACCTCGGCCACGTAGAATCCCCGCGTGCAGCGCGACGGCCTAGGTAAGGGTCAGCCAAAGACAGGGGATGACAATGACGTTCGCCCGCATGGATGAGGAGGAGGATGCGCCAGCACCCGCCGATCCCCATTACGGGTCATTCCAAGACGGGCTTTTGCAAACATCGGATCGACCACTTTCCTTATCATGGGCAACTCCAGCCCGCAAAATTCGCTGATCCTTACGCTCCAACTCCGAGAGTGATGACAAGGGGGAAGTGCCGGGCAATCCTGAGATATGAGAGACCCGCCGCCGTGCCAGAACCCCTTTTCGGAACTTCCTGGAGGACCCCCTCCCCTGAACTGAAGCCTGATGGGAACGAGGGAGCTTCGAAGGGGCCCTGGGACACACAAATAAATAGACACAAATAAAAGGATTCCCCATCTTTCCCCCAATCTTCTGGGCTTTCTCTTCCCCCCCACTTCCCATAGTTTCCCACATTTTTTCTGGGGGATCGACGATTCACTGCGTCTGTGTGTTCTTTCTCCCCCCTCCTGAAGACTACCGGCAGGAGATGCTGGGGGAAGGGGCGCCCGCTCGACGGGCGGGCAACCGCGCGTGGCTCCAGCGGGCTCGGCTGCGCGAGGCGGGCCCCCTGGAGCCTCACACGCCCGCGGAGATCCGACGAGGGCCCCCAACGCTGAGACGAGCCAGGCCCTCTGCTCTGGTTCTGTGGTGACCATCCGGCTTCAGGACCACATCCCAGGAATACTTTTGAGCACCCGAAGAGTGCCAAAAAAGAGTGTCGAAACAGTGTCGGGCGAGTGTCTCCCAGGGCCCGACACGTGAAAACCCTTGAGTTTCGGATTCTTTTTGGGCGCTCGAAATTCTTTCAAGTGGTCAAAGCTAAAGTAGGTTGGAGCATCATAATGCTCTGGGAAAACCAGCACCAGCCGACGACCAAGTCGTGAATCTCACTGCCACCGTGGCCCTGGCTGACCCAGCGATAATTAACCACGTAGCCGCCTTCGCTCCAGAGGAGAGAAAAGACATCATAGCCATAAACTGTCACAGGTCCGCACCGACTTCTTGGAGTTGCGCCGGCCCACTCGCGGCACCAGAGGCACCGCCGGGGGGGCCCAGCGCCGATCCAGGACATCCGCACGACACTCCGACAACTTACATGCTTTTCCTGTGTATTCTTCCTCGACAGAGCTACGTAGCCGCCTTCGCTCGAAATGCACAAATTCGCACGGCGCATCCGCCTGGCCGGTCCGCTGGTAAATTCCCAGCGGCTGGGGCGGGGACGGCCAGTGCCGGCAGGTCCCCGCTGGCCCCCTGCGCCTTCCCCGCGGCCATCAGTTGCTCTCGTCGCCCTCGCCCTCGCCGCCGCCCTCGCCCTCGCCGCCGCCCTCGCCGCCCTCGCCCTCGCCGCCGCCCTCGCCGCCACCCTCGCCGCCATCCTCGCCGCCATCGCCGCCGCCCTCGCCGCCCTCGCCGCCCTCCTCGCCACCATCGCCGCCCTCCTTGGGGAGGGGGGGGGGCGCGGGGGCATGAGGAAAGGGGCGGGAAGAGAAGAGGAATGCGGGAGGGGGCTCAGGGGAGGACGAGGGAGCAGGTCCGGAGGACGCGGAGGGAGTATTGAGGGAGGGGGGAGATCTGGGGGAGGAAGGAGGAGGGAGGAGGGACGAGTGAGGAGGGGGAGGGAGGGGGAGGGAGGGGGAGGGAGGGGGAGGGAGGAGGGCGGAGGGAGGGGGAGGGAGGAGGGACGAGTGAGGAGGGAGGTGGGAAGAGAGAAGGGGAAGAACCTGCTGGCCCGTCTTGCAGGGGCCATCATGCAACGTGGGTTCGGTTCCGATGGCTGCACTACCACAGTCAGGCAAGCTGCGACGTCGCAATAGTCTCAGGGTCTCAGCAGCTCGGCAACCATTCATTCGCCAGTCACCAGGCTCAGCTGTTGAGGAATAGAAGATCTGATTTCTGCAGCGCGCGTGGCCTCTCCAGACCTAAAAATCCACGCTGGCGCAATCCCTACTCGGGGTTCCCAAAGCTCCAAGGTGCCTCGGAAGACGCAAGAAACAATTACCCTAACCCGACCGCCTTGGGGCACAATCGGTGGCATCTCAAGGGCTTGACTCAGCACCTGCTTGCCCGCACAGCCGCACAACCATCGCACTACCACACGGAGAGACAAGACAGAAAGGCTTCGCTGTTCTGGCCAATGCCAGCCTCTCCCACTAGTCGGCTGGCCGACAATAGATCCACCGAGGAACGGCACGAACATCCGAGCCCCTCGCGAACCCGAGGTGGTCCATAGTCCCACGTCCTGACTGTGCTCCATGACCCGTGTGGGGAGACGAAGAGAGGCTGAGGACGAGGAGGAGGAGGAGGAGGAGGCAGGACGTGAAGGAGGGCATGCGGCGGGGGCGGGAGATAGCGATGAGAGGAAGGCGAGCAGCGGGTGGGGTGGGGTGGGGGCGGGGCGGAGGGATGCGGCGGAAGCAGGGTGGAGGGAGGAGCAGGTAGGAGGAGAAGGAGCAGGGAGAAGAGGAGGAGGAGGGAGGGAGGAGGAGGAGGAGGAGGGGGAGGAGGGGGGAGGAGGGGGGAGGAGGGGGGAGGAGGAGGGCCCGGGATTGTGGTGGTGAGGACGATGGGGAGGCGGGAGGAGGAAGAGTCGGCGGAGGATGGGAACGCAGAAAAACGAGAGGGGGGGGCAGGAAGAGTCGGATGGCGGAGCGCGCTCACGTAGGGCGTCCCTCCCGCCGCTTGCAGCAGAGCGAGCACCCTATGAGCAACCATGACGGTCGCGGCTGCATGTCTGGACTGCCTGCAAGCCCGAGTGCTTCAAGCCACCGTTTTCGCCCTCGCGGGCCGATTCGTCTCGCCACCTCCGATCCGAAGATGTGGGTCGCGATTTCCTCATGACGTCGAGTTCTTATCACGAGGCCGACATCGGTGGATCTTTGGCCAGGGCCAGCCACCCGAGGCCATCCTTGGCCATTCGAGGATATGCGAAGTTATCGGGCGCGGGCATCCGCACGAATCATCGAATCGTGCACAGCCCCTACCACCCATCCGATGTCAGGACTGCTGCGCGGCGCCGGCCCTGGAGCTCTGCCCCCTCGGGACCGGTGCTTTTTATCCTGGGTCGTGCCGTGATGATCCCAGAGCCCGACACAGGCCCTCCAGAGACCGAGCTATTTTCATCGCAGCAAGGCAGAGGCGATCCGCACGAGCGCACCACTAGGCCGGGCTCGGGCAGGCACCAGTTGTCAGGATCTGTCCGGCTGCAGGAGAGGGGAAGGGGCCAGAGAGCGGCCGCGGAGGGCGGGAGACAGAGGAAGGGCACTCACAGCCCCAGAGAGAGCCGAGAGACCGAACGCTCCAAGAAACAAAACGAGCCGTCGCGATTTCTCAGTGGTGCTGGAAGTCCGCAGCGGTCCTCTGCAGGTCCACGGGATGTCCCTCGAGGGTTCCGGCGGTGCAAGAAAGGGCCAGAGCCATCCAAAAACTCCAGGATCCGCCTCTGGGGTGGTTTGCGGTGGCGGACCGCGCGGTGACCTCGGAGTCCGCAGCGGCCTCGCCGCGCGGTCAGTCACCGCACGGCTCTGGAGCCTCGGAGGCCCCCGTCGCTCGAGAGACGTCCTCGGAGCACGGCCAGAGTCCCAACAAAAACCGCGCGCGGCGTGGCCACCACACACCGCCTGGGGGCCTCCGAACATCATGGAATCGGGGCGCTGCTTTTCATGGGGGGGGCGATCAACTGGGAGCGAAGCAGCGTGCACCTCTCGTGCCCCTCTTGGGCCCCGGGGTCCCTTTCCAGGGCCCCCGAGGGGCACGACGAGAGGTGCACCCTGCTTCACCCTCCGATCCATCGCCTCCCCCCACGGATGATCTGATCATCTCTCCCAGCCCCATCCTCCCAACCAGAGAACTGTCTTACTGAGAGCAGCAACGCCAGGATGAGGAGGAGGAGGAGGAGGAGGAGGAGGAGGAGGAGGAGGAAGAGAGGAGGAGGAGGAGGAGGAGGAGGAGGAGGAGGAGGAGGAGGAGGAGGAGGAAGGCAGAGGAGGAGGAGGAGCCCGATGGAGGCCATCCTCCTCCGCTGCCAGGGCCAACAGCCGCAGGCCCCGCGGGTCCTCCGCCTCCGCGGCGGCCTTCTCCGCGGCGGCCTTGGCCTCTGCTTCCTGCTTGGTGTTTCCTGCGGCCAGCGCCTCGTCCGCGCGGGGGGCGCCGGCCGACGCTGGCGGGCAGGCGACACGCTACGGTCGGGAACCGTTGGGCAGCGTGTCGCCACGGCGGCCCTAGGGGACACGCTATGACTTGCGAGTGGATCGCGTCTCGCTCCAGTTCGTGGGCTGGGAGGCTCAGGAAGGCTCGGGACGTTGACGCTTGGGAGCCGCGGGGTGGATAGTGTGCCACGACGCAGCGTGGTGGGCCAGAACTGGCGGAGCGACACGCGTACCAAAAGAGTTCCCGACCGTAATGTGCCTCCCCCGTGCTCTCTCAGAGGGGGGACCAGTGCTCCTTGCGGCGACAGATTCAATACTCTTCCCCTCGGTATTGTGACCCCACGTCTGCGCTTCAGTTTATGCTGCCTGCCATGGTGACTCGTGTGGTGTCGAGGGACGCGGCTCCAGCGATCCTGGGCCGCTCAAGAATTTTGAAGTTTGGGCCCTACAGGTTTCTTACATGATACAGAATTTGATATTCTTGGACTCGCACTGCGCGCCCTAATCCGCCTCCGCCTCCCCACGTACTCGACGATCTGATTTTGTTAGTCCTGGTGGTTTTGTGCACGATTTCTCATACCTCGCTGGCCGGTTTCGGGCCGCGGGGCCATCAGAAACGGATCTGGGACAGAAAAAAGCCTCAAGAGACCTCCAGGGGCCTTCAGACACCTCCTCCGCCCCCCCGCTCCTTCCCAGCCTCCTTCACGCCTCCTCCCTGTCGTCCGCCGACCCCTCGTCCGCCTGCTCCGGCTTGCCCCCTTCCCATGTTGCGACCTCCTGATCATCCTGCGCCTGCTCGCTTTCCTCCTGCTCCACGTCCCTGCACCGCCAACCTGTGCCCGGCACCCTGCGCCTCGAATTTCCACCTCTGCCAGCTTCTCTAACTCGTCCTCCTCCTCCTCCTCCTCCTCCTCTTCCTTTTTCTCCTTCCTTGCTGCCTCCTCCTTTGCTTCCTCCTCCTCCTCCTCCTCCTCCTGTTCACCCTGCTTCTTCTGTATCTGCATCTGCATCTGCATCCTCCTCCTCCTCCCCTTCCACTTCCTCTTCGTCCTCCTCCTCCTCCTCCTCCTCCTCCTCCTCCTCCTCCTCCTCCTCCTCCTCCTCCTCCTCCCCCTCCACGACCCTTCATATGCTCCCTGAGTGCGCAGATATGCATGTAAAAATGTGTACATGGTAGAGAGGGAGAGAGACCGGTAAAGACAGACAGAGAGACATACAGACAGACAGACAGACAGACAGACAGACAGACAGACAGACAGGCAGGCAGACAGACAGACAGACAGACAGACAGACAGACAGATGGACAGACAGACAGACAGGCAGGCAGACAGAGAGAGAGAGAGAGTGGAAAAAAAGCGAGAGCGAGAGCGAGAGCGAGTTAGAGAGAGAGAGAGAGACAGAGAGCACGTTGCATGGGCGCTTGGATGCGAAACGTTCTCCGGCACGTCCAAAACTGGCCACACGCACTATCCCAAGTGTCTGGCGAGCCCGACCCCCCCCTTCACACAGAACCTCCCCTCCCCACAACCACCCCCCTCCCCCTCCCTTTGCGCAGAGGAGGAGTTCGTTTTACCTCCCCCCCTCGCGCAAGGGAGGGGAGGGGGTTCAAACACACCCCAAGCGCCAGTGACGGTGGTGGTGGTCGTCGTCGTCGTCGTTGCCTTCCGGCGCCAGGGGGGGGTGGGGGGTTCAAGCCCCCCCCGTCTGGTCGTCGTCGTCGTCGTCGTCGTCGTCGTCGTGGTGTACGTTGTCGTGGTTTGCCTGCTCCAGGGGGCGTGGCATCGTCGTCGTTTGTCTGCGCCAGGGGATCGCCGTCTGGCACGTGCATCTCCTCCTCCTCTTCATTTTCCTCCTCCCCTTCGTCCGCCTGCTCTGGCTTGCCCCCTCCTCCCATTCTACCTCATCCTGCGCCCACTCGACTTCCTCCGAATTACTCCACGTCGCTGCTCCACCCCCTCCGCGTCCTCCACCCTCCGCCTCACCCCTTCCTCCTCCTCTTCACCCTGCCTCCCCCCATCTGCATCCTCCTCCTCCGCGACATCTTCCACATGCTTCCTGCTAGTTGCTCCATGCTCTGCGCGTATGAGTAATTAAGAGGCGGGGAGAGAATGGCGAGAAAGAATGAGCGAGAGAAAACAAACAAGAAAGAGAGAGGGGGATACTCTATCTAGATATATATATATATAGAGAGAGAGGGAGAGAGAGAACGAGAGAGACAGATAGAGAGAGAGAGAGAGAAAGAGAGAACAAACAACAAAAACAAACAACGCGCGTTTCACGGGAGCCTGGATGCAAAACACCCCTCGGCGCGTCGACAACTGGCCTTCCACCTCCACCCGCCGACATCCCGAGTATCCAGCGAATCCGACCGGCCCACCCCCTTCACACACCACGGGGGTGGGGGGGCACAACCCTGCGCCCCCAGTGGCGCAGGTGGTGGTGGTCGTCGTCGTCCCGCGCCAGGGAGGGGTCAAACTCCCCCACCCCCGTCTGGCGCAGGCCGTCGTCGTCGCTGGTATCGTCGTTTGCCGATTTGGGCCAGGGGAGGGCCATCGTCGTCGTGTGCCCGCGCCGGGTAGGGGGGTCATCGTCGTCGCCGTCGACGTCGTCGTTTGCCAGTCGAAGGGGGGGTAATCGTTGTCGTCGTCGTCGTCGTCGCTTGTCGGCGCAAGGGGTGGGGATCATCGTCGTCGTCGTCGTCGTCTAGACGTTCCTTTCATCTGCCTTGTGCCAGGGGGCCTCCTGCCTAATCATGATACTCGTCGTCTTATTCTTCCTGGTGCTAAGAGCAACCCGAATGAATGGAACGCCACCGCTTCGGTGTGAGTGAAACGGCTACCCAAATCACTGCCGTACTGCTGTCAGCATGTCTGCGCATGTACGTTGTAATTCCTAGTATGTGTTGACGTCATCAGTGTTGCGGTCGCCAACGCCATTTCAATATTATAATCGGCATTGTCACTGTCCAAATTCGCAAAAAAAAACATCTTGCCACGTTTTCAGCGAGAATCGTTGGCAACGACCGCATGCTGCAATCATAACCGAGCGCTGCAACAAGAGGAGCTGAGCTGGAAGGCGAGCGGTGAATCACTTGTAGTTATGACTGCCATCTGCTTCGGCCCATGCGTGTAACGTCTTGGTGTATCACCGCCGATAAGTCCACGCACCGAAGCTAACTAGACATACACACGGTCTTATGCGATTCCAGGAGCCCTGGACGGACGAAGTTCGGGAGATCATACGCAAGAGGATGCAGGTGCTCAGCAGATTCTGAGCCTCAGCATGGCTCTGTAAAACGCCATTGAAAACACGGCATTGATCCAAAGGTCTACTTCAACTTCCCCTGGACCCTTCCGAACTTCAACCGGTGGAGCCATACTCGTTGTACTCCCGCGAGCTCCCGCGGGCCTTCATCTGACCTTCGCCGAGGGCGAGACATCAGTGCTCGGTGCGAGGTGGAGAGTTATCCACCACCACCGCCTGGGGGATCCATCTGCGGGGACCTCGGCAGGGGGCGGACATGGGTCTGCTTGGCCCCCCCAAGGCCCGAGTGCACCAGCATCCACCCCCTGCCGAGGTCCCCGGAGATCGATCCGCTGAGCGGTGACTAACCAATCCCCCCGCCTCGGACTCCGCTCCTCGAAGGCGGGGCCGCTCTTGGATCGCCCCCCTCCGTGCTGGGAATGAGGCCACCTCCCTCCTCCCTCCTCCTCCTCCTCCTCCTCCTCTCCTCCCTCCTCCTCCTCCTCCTCTCCCTCCCTCCTCCTCCTCCTCCTCCTCCTCCCTCCTCCTCCTCCCTCCTCCCTCCTCCTCCTCCGTGCATCGCTCTTGGACCTCCTGCGCCTTGCTTGTTTCAGTGCCAGCTCCCCCAGAGCTCTGGGCCACTTCCCACCTGGACCGGATCTCCCTTCGGCATCTTGCTTTGCCGGCCTTCCGGGGGTCCAGCGAGGGCCCCAAGACAATGATGACGATGACGATGACGATGATGATGCTGATGCTGATGCTCATCATCCTCCTCCTCCTCCTCCTCCTCCTCCTCATCATCATCATCATCATCATCAGCATCAGCATCAGCATCAGCATCAGCATCAGCATCAGCATCAGCATCAGCATCATCATCATCATCATCATCATCAGCATCATCACCATCATCATTATCATCATCATCATCATCATCATCATCATCATCATCATCATCATCATCATCATCATCATCATCATCATCATCATCACCGAACGCCTCCCCACTGATTTCTGTAGATGCCTCAGAGGTCTGGGCAACGGAGCGCACTTTGCGCCACAGCCGCGCTCGGAAGGGGGGGGGGGGCAGCACCTCCTCGTAGCAGGCGCTCCAGCTGCCGATGTCCTCGGGCCCCCCAGGGGCGGGAGCTGCTTGCCGCCACCGCCGCCGCTGCTGCGAGGAGGCACCAGGCCTCCTTTCTCCGGCGGCGAGCACCGGGGGGAAGGCAGAGGGGGCGGACCGCAGGCCTCCGACCCTCTGAGGAGCTTTCGAAACCTTCTGCGCCTCGCCATCGCTCGGACGTCCCTTCCCCGTGCATCTGTCGGTTCCGTGCGTGCTTTCTTTCTCTCGATGCTCCAGACTGCTCTTCCATGGCCCCCGCGATGCCAAGCTCTCCGAAGACGTGGACGGGGCGCCCGAAGGCCGGAGGGCTCCTGCCAGGCCCTGCCGCCTTCTGACAAGGCCCGGTCCCTCTCGCGTCCCCCCCCCCCCCCCGGGCGCGCCGACGAGCTTCAGCAGAGCGCCCTTGCGTGAAAGGCTCCCAGGGGGGCACTCCACGGGCGCACGGCAACGCATTTCGGAGCGGATGCAGGCGGGACAGCACATATGGGCGTCCAAACACAAGCGGATGTGCCACAGCTGAACACGCGTCGCTCAGCGAAACGGCCTGGGAACTGCTCAGGCGCACTCGAATGCCAGTGTCGAGTTCACGGGTGCGGATCTCCTCCGTCGACTTGTCTGGGTGCGCGTTCTGTCAACACCCGAGAACGAGCACTCAACAGCGGCGGCGCTGGAGGGGGCGATCTCGAGTGTGATCCTCTCCGTCGCCCTGCCCTCGCGACTCGGCGTACCACCACCCGTCCCTACTTGAGACGACCCCCAAAGCCAGGACACAAGCGGACCAGGATGAATTCGGGACCTCTGAGACCCAGTGGCTCTGGACGGCGTACTGGCGCCGCGGTCGTTCCAGAGCGCTCCGGAACGCTCTGGGAGTGGTCCTGAGCGCCCTTGAACGATCCTCGTGGTCCTGGGCCCGCCTGGCCATGCCACTGTTCCTCCTGCCACCGTCTGGTCGCCTCGTTCACCTCCCCCGTCCTCATCCCTCTGCCCTTCGGCCCTCACCCTCCGCCCATCCACGTCCGTCCCTCCTCCATCATCCCCCCCGACTCCTCCCAGACCACCATTTCTTCTTCTCCTCCTTCTTCTTCTTCTTCTTCTTCTTCTTCTTCTCCTGATTCACCTCCAGCTCCTCTTCTCTATCTACCCCCTCGCCGTTGCACTGACGCTTGGAATCTCCAGCAACTGCTCGGATGGAGGGCGGCACAACTTCCGAAGGTGGTTCTCGCGCGGGTGACGCGCACCCCCCGTCTGGACAGCCAACGGGAAGTATACAGAGAGAAACAAGCAGTCCCTGTTCAACGCACATGCTCTCGCGGTGGCACGGCGCACGTCCTGCTTCGACGTCTCAGCTCTGCCGCCGTGACCCCTGCCACGCTCGGGCGTGGTAGAACGCCAAGTGCTGTCTGGTAGGGATCCTGCAGTCTAGTTGCTAGGGCACCTCGCCGGATCCCAATGCCTAGTCGCAGGCGTCGGCCCCTCACCCAATCCCCAGGGCTCATGGGCAACCCGACGGCTCACTGGAGCTCTCGAGGGCCTCCAAAACACCGAAGACGTCTTCCAAGACTGCCCCTGAAGGCCACGAAAGGCGCCACCATTGGCTCCAGATCGCTTCAAGACGCTCCCAGGAGCTTCTCGCAGTCGCCCGATAGGTCCCCAGAGGCCTCCAACAAGCCCCAATACACCTCCAAGACGTTCCCTGATGAGGTCCTCGAGAAACAAAACACATTGATCTTCGTTTGGTCTTCCAAGGTATGAAGTTGTTCGCGATTGTCAGTCCAAGATCAGCAAAATTGCGGTCTTCGGAAGCCTCAAAGGCCCAGTGAAAACCGCGAGATCTTTGGACGACATAGGGCGGCCCCGAGATTAAGATGGCCCAAGGGGGCATGGTAGCGAATTGCCGCAAGCACTTGGATAGCGGCAGGATGGATGACGTTTCTTTTCTTGCACACTTGAGCTCTTTCCCGAGTGCCGTGCACTTTTTCTTCAGTAGGTCACACAAAAGCATGATGCTGATACGTCTTCGAACACATACTGTACTTGTCTTTCGTGACTTCGGCAGTTCCGTGACTTGCCTTGTGAAGGCATTGCTGTCTCAACTGAGGGGCTCTCACTTGAATCACGTCCGGATTGGAGGACCTTGCACATGCGAATCTGCTGACATGATGTAATTACTTTGTTATTCTATTATGACGTGGGCCTCCCGTGTGAGCCATTCCATCGTTTACAAGATCAACTATCTTTGCGCTTCTTCTGGATCGAACAGATTGAAGCAACTAGTTAGCTTCCCCCCGAACGGGACCCAGGGGATGAGGCGACGCAAACGCCAGGACACCTGCATGACGCCGTCCAGGACGCCCCGAGGATGCCCTCCCGTGGAGGCGCCGGGAGGGGGGAGGGGGCGCTGGACGGTCGGTCGCACGATTGGAATGATCCTCCAGGCGGGAGCGCCAGTCTGGGAAGGGGGGGGCGGGGGGGGCTCCAGACAGTCGGTCGCACGGCTGGAATAATCCTCCAACGCGGGCGGCGTGTGGGGTAAAGGGGTGGTGGAGCGCCAGACGGTCGATCACACACTCAACAGGGGGGCCGCTGGACGAGCGGTCACACGGCCAGGACTTAGGCCTTGGGCAGGGACCGACCGTCCCGGCATTTCTATAGGCCTACCACGAAATCTTCTTCGACCGCCAAAGTGTTCGAATCATGAAAACAATGTTCTTGGAACGCATGGACCCGACGTGCTGAAAGCAAGACAGCCTCAGCCAGAAGTGTTCTAAGAGCATTCCGTGCAGACCACGAACGGCTCTTGGAGCAATCTTTGGTGGGCCTATAGGCGAGCCGGGACGCTTCGCCACTGCTTTTAGGTCGGGCGTGTCCCGCTACAGGCGGATTTTGGGCGAAGAATTAAAAAATACGCAGACAATGCTCAACAGATGCCCAAACATACTCAAACAATAGTCCCCTGACTATGTAGTTTCTGACTATTTCTGGATATTCCCCCTGCAGAGGGACAGGCCCGCCTTACACTGCTTGAAGAATGACTTGGTGCGCCCGATCATACCACAACGCAGAAGGGTCGGGGAAAATACAAAAACATCACCAAAAAAAACCTGCGTGATAAACAAATATGCGGTATTATTAATAATGCATAGGATTAAATATAATTGAGGTTCTTATATTATAAATACCAATAGTAGTATTTATTAGCATATATAATTATGGATACCATTGATCATAAATTATGAATGATAGTGAAATACGATTCTGCCATTGCAGCATTACTATTCATACAAACCTGGATCATGCAACACACGAAAAGATCTCATTCTACTTACGATAGTGGGACGCATGGCACCACCGATAGCATGGCGACAAACTTAAGGCTCCCGAGCCCACATCTGGAGCCTCAAAGCCCCATGGGCGCCGCAAGAGCCACCCGAAGACCTCAATGCGTTTCACGCACGGACAGTTATGATATATGTCACAGGAATCATACAGCACCCCAACAAGCAACTACACACCTCCCAGGTGCGATTGCAAAGCTTACTTCTGTAAGGAAGCTCCACCCAAGGACGCAGACAGGTCAGGATAGACATCGCGTTGCCCAGGAACCCCCTAACCCTGAACCCATCGGCCAAGCACAGCGGCATTTGAACCGAAGGCCGCTACATCTTTGCCACCACAGCCTCAAGCTTTCAAACTTCCCTCTGATCGGCGGGATGGCGCAAGCCCCACGGAGTAACGATGCCCGTCTTAAGTGCAAACAACGACTTGGAAATTGCGACCACGGGATGGCGCCGGGTGGCGGCAAGTTGTTCTGATCTCACAGAGTGCATCTGGGAAAGGCGGGGCCCCGTTCGTCTCAGCCCTCTTTCCCACCCACCCCCTTCGCAGCCTTCAGACCCCAGAATTGGCCAACGTAGATGGCCTGCCCGCATCGCCGCCGCCGCCGCGACGCCACTGGCCCGCCCCTCTCAGTCGAGCGGGGAGGGTCCACGAGCAAGAAGACATCGATGGTAACATCAACGATGGAGAGGAACGATCTCAACACATCCGAACGTGCTCCCCAGCAAGATCTCTCTGAGCGCAACTCTGCGCGCCCAACCCCTGAGCGCCGCCGCCCGCAGCAGGCCCTAGCTGCGGCGGCAGAGGCGCCCACTGCCGCCAAACCCTGCCGAGGCCCTCAAGCCGCGCGGATCCTCTTGGCCCTGGCCTCCTTGGCTCGCTCGGCGAGCGACTTCTTCTTCCCGACGGCGGCCTCAGCTGGCGGCGCAGCCCCGGCCGCGGCAGGAGGCCCGCTCGTCGAACTGGCGGGGGTAGAGGCGACGTCTGCAGCCTTTCGGCGGGACGCCGAGGGGCGATGGTGAACGGGGGAAGGCCTCGCCACCGAAGACGCGGTTATAAGAAGCCCCCAGGGCCCGCTGGAACAGCACATCTGTGGTGAAGCTACTCCCCATTCGCCTGCCCTTCGGCGCGCCACCGAGCCTTCGCGGTGCCGTCGCGGTCGGCGACCGCGTCCGACGGCGCGACGCCGTCCTCCCACGCCTTCAAGTAGTCCTCCATCTGCTGGGTCAGCGTCACGCCGCTCGGCTTGAGCTCGAGCCGAAGCTGCTCGACGTTCTTCTTGGCCAGCGTGGGGTTGACCACGTCCTTCCACGCGACCTTCACTTTCCATATGAAGAATGTAAAGGCCACTGTCTCAACTCCAAGGTCGATGAGCTCCTTGGTTTTCTTCATCACCTCCGCTGATATCAAGGCGGGCTGACGATCGGCGTGAAGGACTTTGACCAAGCGCCTGTACTCCTTCATCAAAGACGTGAGCTTGCCGATGCCGCCGTACTTGGGATTGTTCGTCAATGTCTCAATCATCACGTCATTACTGAGTAATGACTCCCTCACTGGTGCATAATTGGGGCAAGACGCCTCAACCTGCTCGCAGAGGGACTCGAGGTCCTTGGTCCAGGTCTCTGCGAACCGACTTTGGATAGTCAGCGATTGTTCCAACAAGACAG